AAAACAAAACAACAAAAAAAAAACTCTTTGGATCCCAATAGCGCCCCCACCACATGCCTGAACTAAACTGCCCACCCACTGAGCAGTCTCACTGGTGAGAAAGGGGGCCTGACAATGGGGAGCATTATCCTTGAGTCCAAATAAATACAGGCCACATTATCTGCGCTTAATATCTAATCATCAACAACATGCAATACCAGATAAACTAGGGAGGGAGTTACATCATCGCAGCTAAATGTGAATCGATACACCCTAGTTCTCCTCCTGCCGCCATCCACGCTCCCTGGACCGTCAGAGCGTGCACTTGAGGAAGGGCAGCGAGAGCACATTCACAGTTACCACACCCCAAGTGCCCACAGCTCATTCCTTGAAGCAAGCTTCCTGATAGTACAGTCTAAATTACCCATGAAAACTAATTTTGGTTCTGAAACTCATAAATTTCCCCATACACTTCAGGAAGAAAACCTCCCAAACTTCCATGCCTGAAGTAGTGATTTTAAAAATACAACATCATGGGCTGGGGATTTAGCTCAGCAGTTCTGCCGCCTGCTTTGCAAGCACAAGGTCCCAAGTTTGATCCCCAGTACCAAAAAAAAAATACACACACACACACACACTCACACACACACACATATGAAACATCAGGGGGCTGGGGATGAGCTCAGTAGCAACACCCTTACCTGCAGGCATAAGGGCTTGGGTTCAATCCCCAGCACTACAAGAAAAAAATAACAATGACAATAATATACTTTCCTTTAAGCTCTAATGTTATTGATGCTCAACACTCACCTGAACCTCTTTTGTTTGTTTTGTTTTGTTCTGGGTTTTTCTTGTTTTGTTTTGTTTGGCACCAGGGATCGAACTCGGATCCTTGCGCTTGCAAAGCAGGCAGCAGAATCACTGAGCTAAATCCCTGGCCCGTTTTGTTATGTTTTAGGTCTCTCTATGCTGTTCAGCCTGGACTTGAACTCACTATGTAGCCTAGGCTGGCCTCAAACTCGAGGTGATCCTCCTGCCTCAGCCTCCCAAGTACTGAGATTACAGGCAAGCACTTTCTATTTTTATTAACAGGTACAAAACCATTCATTCCAATCAAGGCTGAAAGCAGATCTTCCTTGCCGTGGCCTGCTAGGCTGTGCCTAGGGAATAGCTATGCGAAGGTCTTCAGGGGTCAAAGCCAGCAGCTGCCTGACTGCTACAAAAGGAACTGACCAGGACCCTTACTCTCTGCTGACTGCTTGCCAAGAAAGGAAACAGGATTGAAGAAAAGTTAAAACTTCTAGCATCTTTTTTTTTGTTTTTGGTACCGGGGATCAAACTCAGGTCCTTGTGCTCACAAGGCAGGTGGCGGAACCACTGAACTAAATCCCCAGCAAGAAAAGTTAAAACTGAATCTCCTGTTTAAAGTAACTTTGCTTAAGAATGGGAAGGAGGAGAGTCATGACAGGATGAAACCACAGCCCACCATAAGTTTTTACATTACATGAAAATTTTATTAATTTATGTTGTTTTGCTTCCTATCTCAACTTCCTTTCAAGCCTTCCATACAAGTCTCTTAGAGTCCCATCCTGTCCAGTGACTCGTGCAACCTGAGGCTCCTCCGTAAGAGACACTGGGACAGGTGCTATGAGGACAGGGATATAAGACAGTACCTACACCCAGGCAATTCAGTCAGGAGGGAAAGACTACAAAATAAAACAGACCAGTCTAATATGATATAACACATTACTGAACTACCTCCCACCAGCCTCTTCTTACGATGGGATAACACAATTCCAAAGCAAGTACCTGAAAATTCCCTGAAGAAGAAATTTCCCTGACAACCAAAGAAGTTTAAAACAATTTCGGGAAGTGGAAGCAATTAGGGTAGCAGGGCAGGAGAGCTCAGTGGTAGAGCACTTGCTTAGGTTCTGGGTTTGATCTCCAGCACCTCAAGGGGAAAAAAAAAAAGAAGTGTGATTAAAAAAGGAAAGAAGGGGCCAAGGATGTAGCTCTGTTCAATGGGGGAAGAGCACAGCATGGTCACAAATAGAAAGATCCTCAGATTAAAATAATATCTATTTTAGCATATCCCACTCCCCACAGGCGCTAAGGAAAATGGATCTAGTATAATATATAATATCCCCACACCAGTGGGAGAAGGCCAGAAATGTGACTGTGACCTCCTGAGATACAACATATCTAGCAAGGTCCATTTTAGTTCCAGCTGTTATTTCCACTTCCTCTGAATAAAGTCTGTGTACTACTAGGTTAAGTCCACAGGACCCTGCAACTAGTCATCAAGGTACATCTGGGCCTCCCCCATTCACAGACAGTAAGATTTTCAGCAAACCTCAGCTTCTCTGAGTCTCAAATTCCTTTTAAAAATGGTTGGTTCCAGAAATTAAATAGTTTATGGGCTGGGCCATCGATTTAGCTCATTTAGCTCAGTGACACTGTGCCTGCCTCAGAAGCACAAGGTCCTGAGTTTGATTCCCACTGGGTTGAGGGGGGAGAAGAAATCAAACAGTTTATGCAAAATACTTAGCACACAGTAAAAAACCAGTGAGGAGGAGATCAAGGGCAGGAGGGCCTGGTGGTTACCAACAGAAGACTGGCAGATCCCAAGATAGAAAGCAGTAACTTACAAAGAGCTGATCATTCTGTTATTGCAGACGATAGTGATCTATGCTTACTTCATTTGCATCCATCCTATCTCACTGTCCCTAGACAGCAGCTACTTCATAACCTAGACTAGATGATAATTACTCAGAGCTTTTGTTTTTAAGATCCCCAACAGCCACGATTTCATAGCAACTGAAGGAACATGTCTGGCCCCTCTGCCTGCCCAAGGTGGAATCCTAAGAAAGGAACTAGAACTCCAACACCCAAAAGAGACTCCCCCTGGAATAGAGACCTCTACCTTACCCATGTAACAAAGAAACCAACAGTATTACAGAGGAGGCAAACAAGGGGGAAAAAAAACATACAACTCATACTTATTTTTCATCATTTTTTTACCCCCAAATCAAAATGAAGTGCAAAAATTTTAAATTACAAAATTAAAGATTCACTTAGCACCCCTTTCCATCAATTTCTGAAAGAACCGCGGGAGGTAGAAGATAAATCTTCCATCTTACCACCCCAAGGCTCTATTCTCCATACAAATCAAAACAATGCCTCAGTTCAGAGCAGCAGTGCAGACCAGCTAACTTCAATGCTCTACGCAGCCACACAAAGCCCACATCTAAAGCCGGACAGAACCACCACCACTCAGCCGCCCAGAACCGATTTTCAAACTGCCTTTGTACTCTTCCTTCCGTCTCTCGTCCCTCCCACTAAAGGCTGAGTGGGAAACCAACACTAGGCAGCAGCATCGAGACCAACCCTTCCCATCAGGACATCTCCCAGGAGGCCGAGAGCCAGGCAGAGACCCTCAAAGGGAAATCTGAAAACCCTAAACAGAAACTGCCCAGCACATTGTCTTTTTTCTTTCCTTTTAACTCACTTGTTACAATTATGAGATCCAGCCATCCAAATGTTCCTGTAGCCTTTGCCTAAATCATATTGAAAGAAGAAACAAAGTTCTGTCTCCTCCTAAAGGCACAACCTCACAAGGATGAAATCATCTTTCAAGAAATGCTCTCATGCTACCAGAGAAATTCAAGGAAGCACTCTAGTTGAGACAGAACCAGGCGGGGTAGGGGTACAAGATCAGAAGGTTATTAAAGACGCACAGCACCTTAAAGCTAGGGAGCAGCTTACACACGCAGGCTCGGCTAGTCACAATTAGGGCAGTGTCTCTTCCAGCTATAATTTTCAGCCGGATTCGAATTTTCAAAGGAGGAAGAGAACACCCTAGTTCTCAGCGACTGATGAGCTGGCTATATAATTATCTAGAATCAGTACTTTTGCAAAAATGTATTTACAGAAACAAAAAAAATCAAACAAATCTTAAGGTTAAATGTAAGATACAACAGCACTGCCTTTGGCTTTAACAGATTTAGGATTTGTGGTACATTAACCAAACAAAAAACTCACATCCAAAAAAACAACTTTTTGGTTAGTTTAAAAATAAAAATCCCCCTCATACTTCCTCAAATGCATTTTAAACACGAAAGTTTCAACCCATGGCCTTTTCGGGCCACAAGGCTGGAAATATTTTCAAGTGTGTTGCCACTTTACTCAGGTGAGAAAAATAAGCGGGATCAGAATTTCTTTTCCCGTTAAGCACAGAAAGCAAATGCTACTGCGTTTGCAAATTGAATGTGTAACACATTCACATACCTCAGTCATCAAAGGTGGGTTGGAGAGGATGAAGGGTGGCAGCTCAGTTTACACAGATTCACTTGTTTTCTTTCATGAAGCCAAGCAGGGCGGCCCCCACCCAATGCACCTGGAGAAGTGGAAGAGGGATCCACCCAGGAACAGCAGGGCAGAAATTGATCTGGGCCGAGCACACACTCAGAGGAAAAGGCACTGCTGTACCATTTAAGTGGCCAAGCTCCCTGCAACTTTCCATTTCCACAAAGCAATGGTAGAAGGAAAACAATTAAGTTCTGAAACATATGAAGAGCCATCTGCACAACAAGCTACTGACCCGGACAAATTCCTTTCCCAACCCACAAGAAACATGCCAAAAAAAAACAACTTTTGATTTGGTCTGTGAAAACAAAAGTGTGTTAGTTTAATCCAGAAAAAAAAAATATAAAATCAAAGAACAGAGCAAAATGTACATTTATGAAACTTCTTTCTCCTCTGGTTTTATTCCACTCCCCATATTAGACTAAGAAGTTTTTTAGGTCTTGAATATTTTATCTCTTTTAAAATAATAAAACGCCAAAATTCCTCCAGAGTATTCAAAGTGGAAAGAAAAAAAATAATCGCTTAAAAGTCACCCATCAGCAAAACAGACTCCCGTTTTTAAATTCCCTCTAGTTAACATCAGACAAAAAGTAGACTTCTCTTCTCCTCTGCCTGTCTGTACACCCATAAAAAATAAAAATAAAAAGGGTACACACCTTGAATGTGGACTCCTAAAAACCCGTCCTGTGGGAAAGAAATCCTAGGCGTAGCCAACGTGCTGAGGAAGACAAATCCGGCCAGGCAGCTGATTTTCACCACCGCGTCTCCTTTCAGGATCTTTCCTGCTCTTCTTTCTCTCCCTCTCCCTCTCTCTTTTTTTCCCCTCAGATCCAACACCTAAAATGGAAGTTGCACCCAGCCAAAGGCAAGGGAGCCTGGGTGGTGACAAACTGATCTGGCAGCCCTACCCCCTCGCTTTCCTATGTGATGTCAGCCCCTGCGAGCTTCCAATAGGAGCCAGGCATAATCAGGGAGCTGATTGTATCCAATAGGAAAGTTTATTATAGGAAATTAAAAAAAACAGAGAGGAGGAGAGATCGGGACAGGAGGAAGTTAAATATATATATATATATTTAAAGCCAAGACTGTACAATCTCTGGGGGATCACTGCAAAGCAGTGGGGTGGGTGCGCAGGGACAGGCCTTTTCAAAGCAGCCCCCTAAACTCGGGTTCTCTTTGATGGGGCTCCTGCCTGCTTCTCCTGCCCGGCTGGGTGGGGAAACAGAAAGAGCTATTTTATTTGCCTGCTGCTGTTCAGGTTTGTTGCTTTCTACCCGAGAGCATTTTCCCTAAGGAAGACAGAAAAGGAAGGAGACAGAGACCCTGGAAAAAGGACTCCCGCCTGTTACTAGGATGGTAGGAGTAACTGAGGTAAACTCTCAACTTCATTACATCAGAGCTCAGTAGGCAAGAAATGCGTGGCCCTGTCATAGCTTTAGTCTATCACCCAAGCTAGGAAGGAATCCACGGGACTGCTGAAGAAAATCACAGCTTCCCATTTGTCTCCAAAGCAAGACAGTGTGGATTTATGGGAGAGAATAAATGCAATCCAATAAACAAGCCATTCATTGAGAGCAGATAATAGCATAGGTACAGTGATTCTTACATCAGGAAGACTTGATTTGTCAACTCAGACTTAAGACTGTCCAGTTCATACATGTCCTACACAAAAATCACCTAGATAAAAAAGTTTTTTTCTGAGTTAAGAATTATTTTAATATATTCTTAAACTGTCAGACCATAAAGAAGAGCAGCTGGAATTTTTTACAAGCTCACAAACACCAGTATTTTATAGTTACTCACTGTTTACTGAACAGTTCCCTTGTCTTGCTTACTGAGAATCTAAAACCTATCTTGAGGCCGGGGATCTAGCTCAGTGGTTCTGTTGCCTGCCTCACAAGCACAAGACACGAGTTCGATCCCTGGTACCAAAAAAATTAAAAAATAAAACCTATCTTGGGGGCTGGGGATTTAGCTCAGTGGTTCCGCTGCCTGCCTCGCAAGAGCAAGGACCTGAGTTCGATCTCTGGTACCAGAATCAAACTCAAACAAACAAACAATAAAACCTATCCTGCTGCCAAATGAATCTTCATGAAGTTTTCAGAATCCAGAACAGTGGTTCAGAGCACAGTTCTGAGGGCACACAGCCTGGCTTCCAACTCCACCTCTGTAAGTCACTGACTCAAGTATGCATACTACTGTGTGCCCTTGGGCACATTATATAACCTCTCTGGCCCTCAGTTTCCTTACCTAGGGAGTAAGGTAATAACTGCATCTCTTGTAGCTGGGTGCAGAGACACAGGCCTGGCAGTGTGGGAGCCTGAGGCAGGAGGACTGCCAAGTTAGAGCCAGCCTGGGCAACTTAGTAACTGAGACTCCATCTCAAAATAACAAAACAAAGAGCTGGGGATGTAGCCCAATGGTACAGCACTTGCTTACATGCATGAGACCCTGCAGTTAATCCTCAGTACTGAAAAAAAATAAAAAGAGGGGATTTAGCTCAGCGGTTTGGTGGCCTGCTTTGCAAGCCCAAGGACTGGAGTTCAATCCCTGGTACCCCCCCCAAAAAAAATAAAAAGAGGGGATTTAGCTCAGCGGTTTGGTGGCCTGCTTTGCAAGCCCAAGGACTGGAGTTCAATCCCTGGTACCCCCCCCAAAAAAAATAAAAAGAGGGGATTTAGCTCAGCGGTTTGGTGGCCTGCTTTGCAAGCCCAAGGACTGGAGTTCAATCCCTGGTACCCCCCCCAAAAAAAATAAAAAGAGGGGATTTAGCTCAGCGGTTTGGTGGCCTGCTTTGCAAGCCCAAGGACTGGAGTTCAATCCCTGGTACCCCCCCCAAAAAAAATAAAAAGAAAGCAAGAAATCAAATAATAACAAATGCTGGTGAGGCTTCTAGCAAGGGTTCTGAAGAAAAGGAATCTTTCCACCCTGTTGGTGGGACTATAAACTAGTACTACCACTATGGAAATCAGTATGGAGATTCCTCAAAAAAACTAAAATTAGAAATTCCATTTGACTCAGCTACGCCCCCTCTAGGAATCTCTTCAAGAGAATTAAAGACATATTACAGTGATCCATGTACACCTATGTTTATGGCAACACAACTCATAACAGCTAAATCTTGGAAGTAGCCTATATGCCCATTAACAGATGAATGGATAAAGAAACTGGCGTTAACACAACATGGAGTGCAACTCTGTCATAAAAAGGATAAACCCGAGTCATTTGTAGGAAAATAGGTACACCTTGAGAGCACAACGTTAAGAGAAATAAATCAGACACACGAGCTTAAATATTACATAGTTTCTCTTACATGAGAAAGTATAAAAAAAGAGCAAAATAAAAGACAGATAATAGGAAACAGAGAGATAGATCTTTTGCAAAAAGGAAGGAACCCAGAGATGGAGGGAAGGGAGAAGGGAAGGGGACATAAAATTAATTAAGTTGTGCTACATTCATGAACCAAATCTCCACAATTAATGTAACTTTTATGTGCCACAAACAAGTACCAATAAAAATTAAAATTAAAAAAGACAAAGATGAATGCCAGATTTGTGAAATCAGCTCAAGAAATGCTTGATGATTTCACTGGTTCTTAAAGCCATGTTCCAGAATATTCTATGATTTCCTAGAGATAGTCTTGTTTACTTAACATGACTTCTCACAACGTGCAAGTGTTCTGCCTTTTTCTTTAGTGAGAGAGAGAGAGAGAGTGTGTGTGTGTGTGTGTGTGTGTACTTCTGCCTATCCTACCAGGAGGTAAGCTCCACGATGCCATGAACAGAGCCTGTTCTTACACAGGGTATCTCCCCAGAGCTAGCCTTTACACTTCATATGCAGCAATGGCCAAGTGAGTGAATCAAGACTCTCTGCATAGTAGTTATACAATCCTGGACAAGAATCTGTGGATAACACTCAAAAGCAAATTGTATAAATCAAAAACATAGCAGCAATTAAAATGATGTTAAGGGGGCCGGGGATTTAGCTCAGTGGTACCACAGCTGCCTGCCTCAAAAGTGCAAGGTCCCAAGTTTGATCCCTGATACCAAAACAATTTTAAAATTTTTAAAAATAAAAAGACGTTAAGGGCCAGGAATGTAGCTCAGTGGCACTGTGCCTGCCTGGCAAGTGCAAGGTCCTAAGTTCAATTCCCAGTACAGAAAAAAAAAAAAAAAGATGTTAAAATTTAACTGTACCTGAAACACTCTCTCTAAATAAAACATTACAATCATTAGTTGTTTGAGAGACAAACTATTTATACTCAGTTAATTGGAAATAAAAGGACTTGTTCCACTAGTGTTATTCTGAGTACCCACTGTGAGCCAGGAACTCTACTAAATGGCAGGGATAAGACAGACCGACTCCCTGTTCCCAGGAAGCTCACGTTCCAAGGTATGGTAAATAGAATGGGGGTAATGGTGTATCCCTGGGGTATGCTCAAGGCCCTAGATTCAATCCCTAGCACCAAAACATAAATAAAATAAAATAAAGACATGCAAATGGCTTGGTATTTGCTCTAGATTGAATATCAGGGACAGACTCTGCAAAGGTGACACTTAAATTGAACTCAAAACAGTAAGAAGCAGCCATGAGAAGATATTAACAGTAATGACTCCAAGGTATGGGGCTGAATCACACTAGACCCAGTAGAGGGTGCTGGAAATGAGGATGGAAGGGTGGCCATTTAACATTCCCTATAACAATCCAACTAACAAAATAAATAAATTAAATAATAGAAAAATTTTAAAAAGAAATCCAGCTAACACAGAAATGATGTTAGATGAAAAAAAAGCGAGGGGCCAGGGATTTAGCTCAGTGGTTCAGTGGCCTGCCTTGCAAGCGCAACGACCCAAATTCAATGCCCAGTACCAAAAAAAAAAGAAAAAAAAAGTTAGTCCTCAACTTCTTTGAAAATTAATATAAAGCCAGGGGTGGTGGCTTAGTCCTGTAATCCTAGCATTTGGGAGGCTGAGGCCAGAGAATCAGAATACAAAGACAGCTGACCTACACAGTGAGTTCAAGGCCAGCCTGGACTATACCATAAAACCCAGTCTCAAAAGCCAAACCAAATAATGTATTTAAACCTGCTAGAAAGATATTAATGTGAGAATATCATATTTATATCCTCCTCTTGCCTCCACAGGACCATCTGTAGTGAGAATCAGGATATGAAGGACTATAGGTCAGAAAAGGGAGGTAGGGTATTCAAACGTAGACAAAAAGCCTGTGGGGTTGTTTTCTGTGATACAGGGCCTTCATACTGAGCTATTTCCCCAGACCTTTTTTTAGTTTTTATTTTGATACAGTCTTGCGAAGTTGCCCAGGCTGGATTCAAACCTGTGAACTTGTGATCAGCCACCTAAGGTGTTAGGATTACAAGTGTGCCCCAATACACCAACTCCTTGGGGGCTTTAAATAGAAAAATGACATGATCTAAATCACAATTTAATAAAAGAGCTAGTAAGTAGATTTATGCAACAAATTAATGAAAGAGGACACAAGAGTAAAAGCAAGATGAGTTTGAAGGCTTTTATACCAGTCAAATTGCAGTGACAAGGAGTCATAATCCAGTGCCATCAACATGGGGGGGTAATAAAGATGTTTTAAACTAGACGTGGTAGAACACACTTATAATCCCAGAATTTTTGAGAGGCTGAGGCAGGAGGATTGCAAATTTAAATCTGGGGGCGGTACCAGGGATCAAACTCAGGATCTTGTGATTGCAAAGCAGGTGGCGGAACCACTGAGCTAAATCCCCTGCCTGCAAAATTTAAGTCTTGCCTATCTTGCCTCAAAAAAAGAACGATGTTTTAGACATACAGATGTTTTGTTTTCTTTGTTTCTCTTTTATTTGTTCACATGTAACATTACATTCAGTGCTCAGTCTTAAAACCCTCAAAAGTTTAACTTCCCCACCCATAACCACATTCAAACACAGAAAAACAAAATACCATAAAATAGTGAAAGATAAGGGATGAACTGAGGGTAAAAAACTGTTTAAAAAAGAAATAGGAAGCTGCGGATAGTGAACACGTCTGTAATTCCAGCTACTCAGGAGGCTGAGGCAAGAGGATCACAAGTTCAAGGCCAGCGTGTGCAACTCAGTAAGGCTTTGACTCAAAATAAAATATAAAGGGCAAAGAACATAGCTCACAGATCCCTGGGGTCAACCCCAGCCCAAACTAAATTAAAAAATGAAATGAAATATCGCATAGGGTAGAGTGTTGTGCTATGATGATTCTAGTTCTAAATGCCAAAAAGAAATGAAAAAAATTAACTTCAAAAAACACTAGCCATCTGTCCAAAGGAAAACAAAGTGTCTTTACTCCTTTCCACCCTCTGGTCCAAAGGTGCCTTTGTTGTTTTTTGTTTTGCAGTTTTCAGGACTGAACACAAGACCTTCACATTGAGCTACAACCCAGTTCTCTTATTTTTTTAGCTTTGAGACTAAAACTAAGTTGCCTCAGCTGGGCTCGAATCTGTAATCCTTCCACCATGACAGATGTGAGCCACCACCCCCAGCTCCAAATTTGTTATTCCTGAAGCCCTGAAAGAATGGCCATTTATCATTCCGTTTAGAAAGTCTACAAACACAAGAAATAGTAGGAAATTTTAAAAGAGCAAAGAGCCTAAACCAAGAAGTGAGTCTTCTCTACCTCCTGATAATCAATTTAATCCTGATGGCAATATATTGAGGGGATGTGATATTGGTATTTCCTGGTCCAGCCACAGAATCAGCTACACTGAAATTCCACCTGTCCTGTCTGCTCCTGATTGGAGAGTAACAGATGCATAAATAAGAAACTGTTATGTCTTCTCATCTTCTTCACTTGTGTGTGCATGTGTACACGTGTGCATGTCGCCGCAGCTAACATCCAAAATCTGTCCTCCTTCTGCTAAGTTTTATGTCCTTTCACAAACAGCTTCCTCTTCAATATATAACGACTGTGACGGAAAATGTCTTCTATTCCTGTTTCCTTTTCATTTTAAGAAGTGAGGTTTCAAAGTAGGGGAAAGATGGTATGACTTGGAAATGCATTTTCCATGTCATCAGTTCATTCAACCACCATAAATTCTTTTGGGGGGCAAGGGACATGCTAGAGACAGAATCTCCTGAACACTGAACTACAGCCCCAGTCCTCAAATCCTTTGGGAAAATATGTCAGATATCAACAAGGCGTACTCCAAGTCAGGAAGACAGTGTAGGCCTGCAATTTGGGAGGCTGAGGCATGGGGACCACAAGTTCAAGCCCAGCTTGGGCAATTTAGGGACTTAGCAAGACTCTTGTCTCCTGAAAAACCTGTGGGAGGATTTAGCTCAGTGGTGCTACTGCCTGCCTCTCAAGCGCAAGGTCCTGAGTTTAATCCCCAGTACAAAAAAAAAACAAAACAAAACAACAAAAAACGGCTGAGGATGTAGCTTGGTATGAAGGCTCTGAGTTCAATCCCCAGTACCAGGACAGGCGGGCATACGTGAGTGCACCATACTACTCACCCCTGTACATTTTGTCCCTTGCATGTCCCCTTCTCTTAGGGATCTTCCTTTGTATTTCCAGATGGCTTAAGCAGGGGCTGCTCCTTTCTCATCCCCCACATTCTGTAACCAGCAGCTGCAGATTCAGCCTTAGTGGCTCACGGCTGGATGTCACCAGACCTCTACCGAGGGACACAGAGGAAAAGAATGCTGTCCACATCTATATCGTGGCTTGGCATTCTCTGTTAATGTTTTATCACTTAATTTTTAGCATCATCCCTGGAAAACAGCTGTTTCCAGACAGCTATGCTCCATAAACCCTCTGTGTGGCGGGCACCGTGACTTACTCCTGTAGTCCCAGCACTCGGGAGGCTCAGGCAGGAAGGAGGGTATCTGTGAGCCCGAGGCCAACCTGAACTACACAGTGAGGCTGTCTCAAAAAAAAAAACAAAAAACAAAAAACACTGATTAATTCATTACACCATCATTAGGAGGGAGATTTCTGTGACTCCCTTGGGTCATGAGTTCTCTGAGATTCAAGGTTGGAATGGAGTGGAAACCTGAATTAGGGCCGAACTTAGTTCAGTGGGGTAATCCCAGAACCTAAAAACAAACAAACAACCCCGAATTCAGATACTCGCCAAAGACTTTGCACCTCTGGCCTTGTAAGAGTTCTAAATTAGAGATACGGGAGCCAAGGTGCAAACAGAGACAACCAGAGAGGCCTTTGCCTCCCTGAAGCCTCGCACGTACCATTAGGCCAAAGTCACTTAGCACCTCTTCGAGGGCGAGGTCGGAAATGTCCTTCCACAGCCTTGGCGCCCACCCTTTTGGGATGCCCTCCCTTTCCAGGTGTATCCATCAAGGGCCAAGGTCCAGACAGCTCCCGCCACAATTCCTCTCAGCGCACCTCCCCTACCTCTCCCAGGGCTGCCATCTTCCTTACACCCTCTGTACTCTCGCCGTCGTCCTCCCGCCCAAACCTCTCCCCTGCTCTGATTCGCTCTCCAGGGACCTCCCGACCAATGGGAATGGCGTATCCAGGTTGACGCACAGGCGCGTGGAGGAGGAAGAGCATCGGGCCCGCGACGCACGCACGCACGCACGCACGCTGCGCCTGGATGCGGTGAGAAGT